CGCCGCGTTCCGACGGCTCTTCCGGCGCGTCGCGCGGCGCTTCCCCGAGCAGCAGCACCAGGTCGGTGTGTGGGAACCCGCCGAGGGGGTGGTCATTGGGTGGCAGCGGCTCCCTGGGCGCCCTGGGCTCCCTTCCTCGGCAGGGGGACGGGTGACAGGGGACAGCGAGGGCAGCAGAACTGCAGCCTCCAGGAGGGCTCGTGGCAGGGGCTCAGGATCGAAAAAAAATCTGTTTCCAATTTATTTGAAAATTGGGGAACTTCTCCTGGAGACCCACAGGGGTTGGGGAATGGAGGCATCACCCCAAATCTTGGGTCGTGGCTCTCGGGCCAGATGAGGCTCATCTTTACAAGGCTCTTCGGGCCCCTGTCACCACGATTCCACTCCCACACTTGTCACAGTTGCATCCAACATAAATAAATGGGGGATTCCCTCTCATTCCATGGATCCAGCTGCCATGGCCTCCCTAAGGCACCAGGGAAGGAGCCCAGGGAATAAACCCACGTGTCCTGTGCCTGGGGAAGGCTGACCCTGCGTGTGTCATGCCTTTGCCGTGACTCATGCCGTGGTGCCCATCTCGTGTGTGTCCCGTGCCCCTGCAGAGCGTCAAGTTCATCGCTGTCACCAGCTTCCTCTGCCTCCGCTTCTTCTCGCCGGCCATCATGACCCCCAAACTCTTCCACCTCCGGGAGAAGCACGCAGACGCCCGCACCAGCCGCACGCTGCTGCTCCTGGCCAAGGTGGGACGGGGACGCCGAGAGGGCCACCTGGAGGGGGTCACCATGTGGGGAGGAGGGGGGCCTGTTTGTGTCCTCCTGCACATGCAGGGTCCCCGAGCCCGCTGTCCCCTGTGGCTCCAGGCCGTGCAGATCGTGGGCAACATGGAGGCGGCGGCGGGGCGGGCCAAGGAGGCCTGGCTGGCCCCGTTGCAGCCCGCGCTGCAGCGCGGCGTCGCCCACATGAAGGCCTTCATCGCCGAGCTGGTGGGCCCAGAGGAGGAGGAAGGTGAGGGGGTGTCCGTGGGCACGGGGGCAGCCCCGCAGGACCCCCCCCATGACAGGGCCATTCCCCCTAGATCTGGATCTGCCCAACGCCCTCGCCCTGCAAACACTGGTCATCAAGGAGGGCCCGCTCTTCATGCACAAGACCAAGGCCAAGGGGCCGCTGCTCTCCTCCTCCTCCAAGAAGCTGCACTTCTCCCTCACGAGCGAGGCCCTCAGCTTTGCCAAGACCCCCAACTCCAAGGTATGGAGCGGGGGACACGTCACCGTGGGGACGCCGTTGCTTGGGGAAAGGTGCCGGCGGAGCCCCAGGTCCCATCTCAGGGGGGTTTGTGCCACCCTGGGGTGCAGGACACGGGGCTCTGCATCCCGCAGTGGGTCTGGTGGGGCTCCGTCAGGGCTGGGAAGGAGCAGCA